TGGAGACTCCTCCACAGGAGGTGTCAGAAGGAGTTGGGTAGGGACACCCAATGTCACCTGAAGTGAGCACAGTGGTCCCTGGTGTGGTGGTGCACAGAACTGCAGAGTTGCTGTACTGAAATGCAAAGCAACACCCCACTGACTCACTGCACTGAGCAGTCAAACATGTCTGAGGCTCTACCCTCTACAGTCTTCACCCACCCAGCTTTGCAGTGTCTCATCTCCAGGTAACAGTATCTCAGAGCTGGGAGATGTTTCCTGACAAAACCAAAGACATGGACAATAAAACCTTGACTTAAATTATTAAGAAATAGTACATTTTGTATTGTTTTTCTTTTCCCTGACATTGTACATTGCAATGTTGTATAAGTAACAGCTTTTTAGTAACCTGGACTCCAGATGTACTTAAATTATTGTGAAATGGTTAAATTAACATTTTTCCATGCGGCAATCATTCACGGCAGCAAAGGATCCAGACACAATGAGTATTTCCCATGCAAAAATGTAACATAGCAAACATAATTTTCAAGTTTAGAAATAAAGAAACAATATATGTATTAAATATAAATATATTTTAGAGTCAAAACATTTTGTCACAAAGATGAAATAATTCCCCTGCAGTTCATCATCTCAAGCATCTCAAAGTACCTCTAGTTTCCTTTACCCTTATTATGCTCCTAAACTCTTTTCCTTTCTCCCATCAAACATTTGCAGCCTGGCTTTCCTGGACAAACACACCTCACAGAGACTGTGTGATAATGTAGAGATGTAGTTCCCAATTTTACTCCTCCAGAGTTCAATTCCAGGCTTCATTAAGGCTTGACAAATAAATTAGAGTGCTTTGCCACTGCACAAAATAATCTTCATTTCTAAGGCAAGCCCCAGCAATTCAATTGCTTATCCAAAAATATATATGTGACACTTTGCTCTAAAATAACCAAAATAGTGAAAATAAAAAAGAACAAAAAACAACACCCCTTTGGACCTGATGGGAGGTCTCATTATACTTCCCACATGCTGCTTTTTATGTGTCCTCAACAGTTCAGCAGCTGCTTCTGCTGCAGCAACACCTCCAGCACTCAATCTTGGAAGCAAATCCCCTCCCTTGTTCTTCTGGCCCTTTATCACTGGCTTCAAGGAACACGCCATGCAAACTCCCCTTTGCTTTTCTGTTTTCATTCTCCTCTAGCCTTGGATTTATTTCAAGAGGGGTCAGCAAGCAAGCCTCTCTGTAGCTCCCCCTGCTATGTACCTTCTACTGAAATCCTCACATTCTCCTTGGGAACAGCCTAACAAATTGCTCCCTTCCAGCTTTGCTTTGATTTGGCCCAGATGTTGCCAACCATATTTTTCCTTTCCCACTGGCTTCCACTCCACCTCCATCTGTCTGAGACAGATCCAGCACAAGAAGAGCTCCTGCTTTCCTACAGATGCTTTGGTCCTATTTTAATTAAGGGGCCAGTCACCCTCTAGCAGAGCAATATGGTTATTAAATGCCTTCATCTCAACTAAGGGAGTGTATTTCAAAGAACTGTAAGGAAGCCAGAAATAAATAATTCACTGCAATAATCTCATTTTTTTCAACTATAATTCAAGTTAATTCATCTTAAGCCTGCTATCTTCAGCTCAAAAAAATTTCTGTTAAATGTCATCCTGAATGCTAAGTCCAAATAACTGGACTTGGTTCAAAAGAAGGGTATCCAAGAGCTCAAACCACTCAGGAAAGATGTCCTGCCACCTGAGACCATGGCCACCACAACTGCAGTATGTCCATGAAGATGAGCTCATTGCAGCTCCCCGTGTTTCCATTCCCAGGGCTCAACAGCTCTTCAACTTGCCAAGTGGTGATGGTTCTCTCTGCTCCCATCATCAGGATTCAGCAGCTCTGGCAGAAAAGTTTGTGTTTGTGGAGCACAGGCAATAAGGATCATGCCCTGTTATCTCTATCCACTCCTCTGGCAGTGGCACCTCACTGTCTCTGCTGGGAGATTGGCAGCCTTTCAGGATAAGGGAAGGATTTCCCTGGTAGAAAGCAAAATGATATCTAGTTTCCAGCCAGTTTGTCAGACAGATTCCCAAACAACCAGGCCTCCAAACACCTGAGAGCTTTGCTTAAAATGGACTTCCAGAGAGGAAGCTCTGACAAATATAGCAGTGCAGCCTAGCTGCCTCCATGAGAGTCCCCTCCAGACCAGCTATCACAGAACATAAGTCACAAAAGAACAGCAGATATTCTCTTTTTAATTTTGGCACTTATGCCAGACCCCCCACATTCTACAGCAGTTAGAATTTCCATTTACCATCTGATCAGCTGGATGCTACCAGTTTAAAGACCTAAAGGGCACACATTTGGACTTGCACAATGCACTGATACAGCCTCCAGATGTGTTTCTGAAAAAACAAGCAGGTACGCTGTCACAAGCAGAAAACAATGAATGACAGCAGAGGCAAATATAATTTAGCAACTTGTGCTAAAGCACATATCTATCATCACAAAACAAGCACAAACGAAGCATGAACATTTGAAATAGCAACAGCTGAAAGTGCCACTAAAATGAAAAACTGCAGAAGGAAACACAACATATGAACAAGGCTTAAGACCCCCTTACTGCTAAAAACCAGTATTCAGTTGTATGGAAGACTTCAGCATTACAGTCTTTCTCTGGAAAGGAAGAAGAAAGAAAGAAGGCTCTAATTACAATAATAAAAAGTAACAATACAAAAGATCTAGAGTAAGATTTCAAAAACTATCTAAATAATCTAGGAACTTGAGGTTTGTCGTCAAAATCTCCAGAAAATCTCATTGCAGAGATGATGGTGAGAACTATTCAGGGAGCACCAAGCACTGTGGCAGCTAGTACAGACCACGCACTGCTGGGTCCAACATCAGCCTTTCATCTGACTAAACCACACAGAGGGCCAGGTGCTGCGGCAAGTAGAGCCACAACATGCTGAGCCATTCCATGACCTGAGCACTTTGGGCTCAGCACTCCCAGCAGTAAACCAGGACATCACATCATGTGCAAGACAGGGCAGGGACACCCAAGCAGAAGTCAGAGCTCTCCTCTGCCCGGTGGTGGTGGCACTTCAGTGGCAATCATGCTTTCCAGCCTTGATGATGTTCACTTAGCTACTCATTTAACACACTGTGCTGTCTTCTGCCCTTCCTTATCTTCTTCTATTCGAACCATACAGCTGGAATCACCTTTTCCTCTTCTCATGTTCTGGTTCATGAAGGAAAAAAGTACTTACCAAGGCTGCAAATGGTTATGAGTCCAAGCTATCAAAGCTTTGTTTTACCGTGGGCAAGATCTTTCTGTCAGCCTGTTTTCATACTCGATGCTAGAGGCTGCACCTGCTTGACAAAACCCCTTCCAGCTAAATGAAGACTTGCCAAGACAATTTCTCAAGAGCAAGGAAAAGACACACAGGTCTGATATTGATCAACATGCTTCAGAAGCTCAAAAAAGCCCACTGCTGCATTGTTAACAGTAGCAAATTATGACTTGTGTGCCTTTTAAATAGCAGAATGGAAGCACTTATTTCAGCAAGCCAATTTGGTACCAGCTTTTCCCAGGCTGTGTGGCCCCATCTGCCTATTCCAGTTTAGTTTAGCTTTGACTGACCCCAGTTACATAACTGCACTTAAGCTCATAAATCGTAAGGTCAGTATAAGGTTAAACTCCTGCTGTGTAAGACAATATAGACAAATCCCAAACAGTCCTAATACCTCACCTATTTTTCTATGTATGTGATGCAATTCCCAGCTCAAAGCTCAGCAGGAGATTTCCTTTCCTTCTTGCATACCTTTTCAATTTCTTTCCTTGTTCCATTTCTCTCACAGATTATTTTTACTTTTATAATGCAAGATGACAAAAGTCAAAGTTAGAAAAGCTAAACTGACTGCAATGCTTCTATACCATCATTTTATTACAGGCATTGAACTGAAGTGTTTTAGGCAGCACATCATATGGCCTGTCACAAGGACACTGAACTAACATGAAATGGTAGGAAAAGTTAGCTGAGTTTTGCCAAATGTTCAATATTTTTAAATGTAAACAACCCACATAACCAGACAAAACTCAATGTCAGAACAACTCTAGCATCCCACTGTCCTAAAAGTGTAAGCCTTTCTTAGCTCTGGGCTCCCTGGTGCTAGAAGAAGCAGGATGGCTTCGTTAAATGAGGTGACAGAAAACCAACCTGGCAAGTAGCTACTGAAAGTTCCCTGCTGAAGTTCTGCTAGGGCACTGTCAAGCTGCTTCTGCAAAACACGAATTTCAAAAGGGTTTGGCTGGGGTTTTATTCGAATTTTATTGACATCTTTAAAGAGCTACCTTTTGCATTTGTGAGACACCAGGAGAAAAGTAAGAGTAGCATATGGCTCACAGAGTAGAAACACACCAACAACTTTGGAGAATGATTGAATGAAAGAAATTACTCTTCTGACAAGCCTGCTTCAAATGTTGGCACTGGAGAACATCATAATTTCTGCAGCTCAGCAACTTTTGTCCCATCAAAGGTATGTTGTAGCACAAGGGAGAGCAGCACTTTTCATTCCACTGTGGAAAGAAATGATGCTCTGAGTCACAGAATCACAGAAAACACTAGGTCAGAAGGGACTTCTGCAGGTCATCCAGTCCAATCTTCTACTCAAAGCTGGGTCTCATCTTCGACATTTGATTGAATCTTTTGGGCCTTGACCTGTCAAGGGCTGAAAATTTCCAAGAACAGAGATTCCACAGCCTCTCTGGGGAACCCATTTCAATAGTTAACCACTCCTGCTGTGAGTACTTTTTTACTTAAATCTACTCAAAATTCCTCTTGCTGCAACTTGTGGCTGTCATTGTGCAACTCTGACAATACCCAGCTGCATCTGCTCCTTAGTCCCCGTGCAGGTAGTAGGAGTGGATTTTCATTCCCCCTTGACTGTTCTCCAGGCTGAAACAAATCTCAGCCTTTTTTCGTTCATTAAGCACTCTCATCTGTTAACTGTCCTGATGACCCTCTACTCCATTTGCTCCAGTTTGCCAACATCTCCCTTGTACAAAGGAGTCCAGATGGGACCTCACAAGGGTGAAGTCACTTCCCTTGACCTGCCTGTTACCTTCCTGCTCACACAGGTCAGTTTTCAGGTATCCTGGTCTCCACATTACACAGCTTCCACAGCTCACTAAGTCAGTTAGATTAACTTGTTTTCTTCTGGTCCACAAGAGGTGGAATAATTTACCTGCATTTGGGCTAAAAAGCAGGTGGGAGGCTCTGTAACACAATTTGCTTCAAGAAAGAAAATTATGTTTATCTCTTACATTCATTCTGTTCAGGAGAGGTTTATGAAACAGAAAGGTTCCCTTTGAGCCTTGGCAGGGCAAGGAAATCATATGTGCTCATACCTCAAGAAGAGAAAAGCACTGAGAAGCATTCTGTACAATGTGCCAGAGACTTAAAATAAGCAAATTTGCTAATGTAAATATCACTAACTATTCTGCTAAAAATTTGCTTTAAAACCCTCCATACATGTTGCCTGTCAATTACATTGCATTACTTCAGTGAATACAGAATTAAGGCACTTTATCTCTTAAACAACTAAACAACTAAACTTCTAATTGTGTCTATTTAAGAAATTTGGCTGCCTCATTCTCCAGGCTTGCTATGGTTTCATACCCACTCCCTGGCAGAGCCCACTCTGTGTAGCAGTTCTGAGTGTGCTGCCCACTTGTAAAGACATACATGATGTGTCCCTGTGGTGTGCTGGAACAAGAGCTGTCACTGGATGCAGACACAAACACATGCTTGAGAAACAGTAGTGAAGCAATGAGCAAGAGGCACGCCATATTTTGTCAGTAGGAATGTCATGAAACAGCCACAAGAAAACTCAACCATATTTTTCTAATTTATGATAGAGTAGACAGGGTCTTATTTTGGAGCATGAAAATGTAATCTATCCCAGTCTCTCTTTCCCCACCACCCCTTTCAAATAGTAGTCTGCACTGTCATCAAATTAAATTAACAGTTAAATAGAGCTGATTTCCAACCAGGATGTTACAAGGATTTAACCTTTCTATATACACACACACTTACAAAAGGAATTGTGTTGATGAGATCGAGAGAATAATATTACCCAGAATCCTTTTAAGATTGAAGACAGGAGAAAGAGAAAAGGGATTGATTATTATTTAAGGATAAAAATGAGGTAAGAACAATCAAAATAACAATATTTGAGAAGTGATAGCAGATGTGTCAATCCACATTCTTTAGCTTCATATTCTCCCATTCCACATGATTGTTAGCTGGCCCCAGAGCCTCACAGCACTGTATAAAGAAACAATTGCACATCTTCTAAAAACAGAAGATGGTGAGATCTCTTGAACAGCTTGCCCAAAGACCGTATTGTGCCAAAATTTATATGGGTTTATTCAATAAATTAAAAGGAATACATCCTATGGGAAACAAAAGACATAGCAGAACTGAAAACATTTCCTGTAGGAGGAGTATTTTTAAATTTTTACAGAGAGAGGCATATGAACACTGAACAGAGAACAGCCAACTGGTTTCTCACCACATTAGTCTCAGTAGGGTGCTACTCAACTGAAATTACCCTTTGGAGAAAAAACAAAAAAGTTAGTGCTCAGAAACCATCCTGCCATATTACAACAGTGGCAGAAAACAAAAGGATAAAGTAAATAAAACCTGAAAATAGAAATGGAAAATTTGTATTAGTCTTCCTCTTGCAAAATCAGTTATAGATGCTCAGTGGAGGTACAGCTCCATCACTGAAAATCAAGACCAGGCTAACTCCAAGGCAATGCAAAAGTAATCTTAATTGCACTAAAAAACCTAAAACTGAATCTTTCCTTTGTTAGCAAGGTCTGCAACATACTTTGTACTTTGCTGAAAACCAGTGACTTGGCCAATCCAAATAGTAGGCAATAGCTACAGGAAAGCAGCAGGTTTTTTCAGTATGAATATCAGGTGATGAAAGCAACAAGACACAGTATCTTCCTTTTTAATGTTTGGCAGACAGGATAAAGGAAGATACACTTAACAAGGTGTATTAGAAATGGAAAAAAGACAAGCCCAACTTAAAAATGTCCAAGTGCACGGAACAGGAACTCAGAACTTAACAAGCGAGAAAGAGAAAAGTGAGTTCCCAGCAGCCAAGAGGAGAGTTTCTGCATTGGACTGACTGCTCATGTGCATCTTCACTAAGTGCAGTGCTCAAAAATCTCTTTCTGACCTTACACACACAGAGTCCTCACTAGTAAATACTGTAAGTCAGAAGGTCTTTTCTTTGAGAGGCTACAGAAGAGATGAAGTGGGAAGATCCAGAAATGACAGTTCTGGTTTCATAACTGGGGATGCTGATGCAAGCTGTTCCCATAGCCAGGACTGTGAGCATGATGACCCAGGGATGACAGCTTTAGGGTGTGAAACTGATGCTTGGTTTTATGAGCCAGAGACACACTACCTAACCTACTTAGGTCCGAAAACACAAACATGTGGTACCCAACATCTGGTTCCAGTACAACAATGTGGCGAGCATCAGGCACTGGAAGCTCATCAAATCCTTCAAAAACACTCTCAGCTCTCCCAGGGATTTAATAATTCTTAGCTGACAACTGGAGTGGAAAAAACATGTAACTTGAAATAGCCATTCTGTCCACATCTAGGGAAAACTGAAATTCAACCAGGAAACCTCCACATACATTTCCATTGACATGTATTATTGTTACAGAATAAGAATAGATAAAAAATAAGAGAAATTATTTTGAACAAGCACAGCTTAAAAAATTGTACACAATAAATGACACAAAAGTTTTAAAGTGTGGTGATGAAAGTAAATTCCTAGGACTGAATGGTAACTAAAGGCTTTGCTTCCTTCCTGATACTCTGGTTTGATTAGTAGCCACCAGCCAAAAGGAAGGCACACATTTGAGTACTCTGTTGAAGTCTGAAAGCTCATTACCTTCCAAAATTGTCCAAAGAGTTGCAATGTCAGATGAAGTCTGAACCTTGCCCTGAACCTCCTTATTGCTTCCCTTCCAGTTTCCACACATTGAATGGAATATTTGGCCTCTTCTCCTACGATTCAGACACCTGGTTCAGTTAGCAACCAGTGGAACCCAGGTTGTACCAAAGTTACGTTTTAAAATCTTAACTTAATTCCAGTGATGCTTATGCTCTCAAATACTGTGCCATATAGCCAGAGAATCAAATATGAGCAGTGTTATATCATGTTTAAGGAGACTAAGACAGGATTGCCATTATAGTTTTGATTTTTAGTACCTTTTATACATTAAGATTTCAACTCTACAACTCTAACACTGATACGCTGAAGTTACTACTCTGCCATCATGACTGTTCAGCCCTACTTGCTCAGAACTCCTTGCTGGTTTCAATTATGATATTTACATCTGGAAGGAAAAAAAAAAATAAATGTCCAAACATCTTTAATACCTGTACACCCTTAATACTTATACAGCTAGAACACTGCAAAAGAGACTTCTGAAATGTTCTTCACCTGCAATCTGTCACAGCTGCAGTTCTTGTCACCCAATAGAGTCTGCACAACTAAATGTGCTTCAACTCCACCATGAAGTCAAGACAGTTGTCTGGGTTGTTAATATTTTAGAGGTTACTCAAAATTAATTTTCAGTCTCATTTCTATTATTTTCACAAGTTTTTTTTCCCATTACTTAAACAATGCACACTTGAAAAATTCTGTCTGTCCTAGCCATCAACCCCCATATTTTCATCCAGTGTCTTCAGACGTAATTTAGCTGAGAATAGGAAGAGTCCATTTGCCAAAATCGGAAATACTGAATATATTTAGTTTCTTTCAATTGCATTCCTGTCATGAGAGACCCACAACATTCCTGCCCACCAGATTTTGTAATTATAGAACTCTTACAGCATTGAATGGAACGGACTCAGGCTGAGACTAATCTGTGTGTCCAGTGGTTTGGAATGTCATAGGAAAGAAAATAAAGCAGAACAGCTCACTGGTAAATACCAGCACATGCAGATTTTACTTTAAAAAAAATAAAAAATCTTCCAAAGTACAGTTCTCACACATATGATTAAAGAGCCCACACAACAGAAAAAATGCAAGTTATCCATTTAAACATGCTAGACCCCCATTTTTCTTCCAGGATAGTTATCAGAGCTCTGCAAGGGAATATGCTCCAACATGTCTTCTATCCATACAGCAAAATCTCTGGGTTAGGTATCAAGGTGCTTAGGGTAACAGACACTGTGCTCACAATTGATGTCCACCTGAACCTCCACTGACACAGCTTGAGGCAGTTTCTCTTGTCCTGTTACTGGCTGCCTGAGAGAACCCCCACTTGCTACAAGGAAAGAGAGAATCTACACTGCCTTCCCAATGAATTTAAACTCTTAAGGTATGAAGCCAGCGAATTTACCAAAGCTGACCTCCCAAGACACCTGTCAGCTGAGACCTGTGCTGTGAACATTCACTGCTTCTCATGGTCATGCTATAAAATAATTCAGTTAAACTAATGTTGTTCTGGTAGTGCAGATTAGCTTCTCCAACGTCCTTGCAGCTCATCACAACTTGGCCAGCCAGCAGCACAGGAGACACCTGGACAGCTCCTGGTTTCTTCCCCCAAAACCTGATGAGGAACCAGGGCAAGCTTCCCTTCCATGACATGGAAAACTCCTCCTGTAGTGCTCAACAAAAAGCTGGGCAAGCAAATGGATTGCAGTGTAAGTCAGGAGGAGGAGGATGAGGAGATGAAGAAGGGCTGAGTTATCCACCCACAGCAGCCCAATTTCATTGAGAAGCAAACTGCAAATTAAAGATGCTGCTCCCTGCCTCCCAGGGGCCAGGTATGCAGGTGGGAAGGCTGTGGATGTTATGGTACCATTACTTTAAAATCAACGCTCCCCCAAAAAAAGCATATTAGTTGGAGATGGTAATGTTTCATTAGTTAGCAACACACAGACTATGACAGCAAAATAATCAGGCCATTTAAGTTTGAGTGTGTAGATTTGGTTTCTCATAACAAATAGATTATTTGGATACATTCCCATGATTTGCCATGTTTTTTACCCACTTGCTGTGGCTTTCCATTACCATCTTTAAGACAGAAAAATAAGC